AAAAGATTTTGTGGGAGCACTGCCGAATACCAGTGATAACTGTGGACCAATCAGGAAGAAATCGTACAGTTACGTATCTGGAATCGTATGGATGGTGTACAACCCTTTCATAAATGAAGAAGTACGCGATTGCTTCTTCGATTACGAGCAAGCGGTGTTGCTAAGATTCTGGACGTCAAGAATTGCAACGATAAGAAGCGCTGCTAACCAGCAGACTAAGCTGGGACTTGTGTTGGAAGAAAACGTGACTGCACCTTCAGTGCCGAAATCTGACAACCGAGTGGAATTTGGATTAGGGTTTTCGGACGAACTGCTAAGAACGAGTCTAATGGTGGTGTGGGAACAAATGAAACTATCATGGTGTCCGAGTCCTAACGCCGACTCGATATTGCGTGCAACACAGGACGAGCAGAGGGAATTGATTTCAGACTGTAACTCGCGTGACCTAAATATCATTTACAATTTAATGACGACAGCCTCTAAGAGCAACGGAGAAGACAAAGTAGAGTTGCCTGGCTGGGGACCAGAGGACTGGGTTAATTCTGGTAGCTGTCTGGTGGAAGTCTGTGGACAGGAGGGTTACATCTGCGGAGGTCTGGATTGCCTAATGACTCTGAAGAAACAACACCAGCAATTAACGGCATTGTTTGGGAGCATTGTGATGAAAGCGAAAACGGAAACAAAATCGATTGCAGATTGCAATGGAGGAACCGAGGTGAATCTAGTGACTGCACTAGGATTCTACAGCATGTTTGGTTCTTTAGAGTCACTATTGAATCTAGAACAAAAGCATGGGATGGTCACGACCATCAGTGTAGAAGTGTTTCCGGGAGTTTCGCAAACCGAGCAAAAGTATATTGGAAAGTGGAGAGAAGCGATCGTAGACCGACGGGAGCGCGATATTTAGTGGGATTGATTTTAGCGCCAATCTGTAAAAGCAGATAACCAGTGAATTTTGTAGCAGTGGATGTGAAAAGTACAAGGACGATCGTGGATCAAGCCTTTTTAGGCCGAAATGCGTAAGACAAGCAAAAATGTCCGAAAAATTTTACGAGTTATTGTGCAAATTGTTCTCAGCAGTTCCACAGAGAACCAAAGAAGAATTAGAATCGATATTGGGAAAAAACTTCATATGATACGCCAGTGGAATTTTCAGTGACTTTGAAAGACAGAAGCAGAAAGGGTCAACAGTTACAGATTACAATGCAGTAGATGAGAATGATGAAGTCTACCAAGTGATGATGGAAGTGGAACCACTACTGGAAGCGTCGGGAAAGCGTAATTGGGCGAGCATCATGTTGACATATGATGAGTTCCCCTGCCATTGCTTGCTACAAACATGGTGGTATCCCGGGCGTAGTAATCTGGTGTTGATCTGGGACTGTGGAGAGCTGCTCTCCATGGGTTTACCAGATTCATCGCAGCCCATAACGGTAGTGATAGTGGGAGTTATGATGGCGATAGGATGGCTGGAAGCTCATGTGAAAGAAAACAATGGCCAAAAACGCCTACGAAATAGCAATTGCAGCAATTGGATTGTCTAAAAGATTTCGATCTTTTTGAGACAATGTGCAAAATCCCGAACATTCCGATGGAAGAAAAAAAGATATGGGCCAGAAGGCAACTTATGCCATGGTTTAGAGCCAACAAGATGCATGGTTGTACGAATATGCCAAGAAGCATATGTCTAAACACAGCAGGGTGTACAGTGCGTATCAGCTGGAATTGGGGCAGGAGCCTTCAAGCGAGCTTTTGTAAGTCGTCGGAATGCAGTATCCACCGCAGTAAAGAGGACGTCCAGGACAAGTGACTGTGACGGGAGAGAAAGAAAAGAAATGTTGAAGGAAGACTTGGAGAGAAACGTGACGTTGTGCCTCCACAACAGCTTCTGCCGAAACAAGGAAAATAACGTTGATCCTCTGCCTTGTTGCAAACAAAGAGTAAAAGAGCAGAAGGGATGGAGGACTGTCTCCAGCAGTGTCAGAATAGCTACTGACGTATTGCAAGACACTGAGTCTGAAAATGCGGAGTCAAAGACGCAGGAGAAGGAGTTGGAACATTGACAAGTAGCCGAATAAAAAGACGCAAAAAGAAGAAAAGTTAGAAGAATTGAGAAGTTTTAGAACTTCTTAACGACAAAAAACAAAGAGTGAACAAAGAGACAAACAAAAAAAGCAGCCAAGGAGAAGATGTCAAAGCTCAGAATTATTTGTGTGAGAAAAACTCAAATGAGAAACAAAGCAACTAAGTTTGCAATTGAAACTGAAGAGAAAACATTTAATTGAATTTTGAAGATTAAAGAAATTGTTGCATATATAAATTTGCACTGTGATTTTAGTTAGTGGCGCTAAAAGAATGTGTCTCAGGCTAGAATCCAGAAATGAAATGAAACTAAAGGAACTGAATGAAAAAATGAAAACAACGCCAGTCGCTCACCAACTATGCAGGAGAAAGGTACAACTGTATGCTTCCTTTAAAAACATCGGGGCCGATAGCTTGAATGAACTACTTGAAGGTGCTAAAGTTTGGCAAAAAGATTGGGTTAGGCAGTTCAGGGCTGATCTTGACAGCCATCGGCTCAAGACCAAGTGCGACCAGGATAATTGGTTACATAATCCGACAACCAAACTTAAGTTCACAGACGGTGGGGATTTTAAAGCAAATGCTATCGGCAAGAGGTCGCAAACAGTTCAATGTGCTATTGAAAAAAGTGGTAGAAGGTTTCATAGCAAAAAAGAGATGTACAGGCATCTCAGAGACAATCATTCACCCTCGGTGCAGACCTCCGCTAGTAGTGAAAGTGAAGTTGAAACCAAATGAAATGAAAGAACTGTAACTAAAGGAACTGATGGAATTGTAACTAGAGGAATTGAAAGAACTGCAGAGATCCCCCAGCAGCCCAGCAACGGGGGGTCCAAAAGGGTAAATTCGACTGCCCTCTGTCCGACTGTAACAAGACTTATGTCTATGTCACCGGTTGGACAAAGCACATGCAAAACTGTCACCCGCATGTGAAACTGATCAGCGCATCAGAATTGACAATCTCAGCACCGCAACTGAGTCGGCAACCCTTCGCATCAAACCAAGACACTAGCACAGGTGATGAGGTGCTAAAGTGTCCGTTCTGCTCCTACTGGTGCTCGGTTAGAAAGTCAATGATCAATCACTGTTATGTGAAGCACCGATACTCCTGGGTCAAAGCAAGGCCAATGTCCAAGCCGCCAAGTCATGTTGGCGTTGTCCCGGTGCGTACAATCAATAGGCAAAATTGTGCAGATTGTAGCGTCATGACCACCACTGCTACCTCGGAAAGGTAGAACGGGTTCCCGGTGGTGACTTTCATTTCGTTTGAATCAGTTCTAATGATTTGATAAAGTCAGAACCATTGCCCCTGGCCTTGACCAGCTGGGGTGCAGATGGGAGGAACTTATTACTGACGTGTTGCAAGACACTGAGACTGAAAATGCGGAGTCAAAGTCGCAGGAGGGGGAGTTGGAACAGTGACAAGTAGCCGAATTAAAAGACGCAAAAAGAAGAAAAGTTAGAAGAATTGAGAAATTTTAGATTTTCTATAAGACAAAAACAAAGAGTGAACAAAGAAAAAAACAAAAAAGCAACCAAGGAGAAGATGTCAAAGCTCAGATCTGTTTGTGTGAGAAAAACTCAAATGAGAAACAAAGCAACTAAGTTTGCAATTGAAACTGAAGGGAAAACTTTTAGTTGAATTTTGAAGATTAAAGAAATTGTTGCATGTATAAATTTGCATTGTGATTTTAGTTAGTGGCTTTAGAGACACTCACTATTTATTTAGAGAGACTTGATTGGAGAGGAGAGTACATTAAATATTCCAGCCTGCATGATTGTTTTTAATCAACTAAGATGACTGATCATTTTGTGGTGACATGAAAGGCTTGGGTAATCTCTTGAACAGGGAGATTATATCATTGTTCCTTCTAACAACCGAGTTCCTTTATTTTAAAATATAGAGGACCAATAACAACTATTTTTCCGAAAGGAAGAAGCATAGCAGGATAATTTTAGTTTGTTGGTTGGCAGGACCGTCCTGCGTCCCAACACTTTTTTAACCTTGGAGAAAAAGTTTTAAATCGGGACATAGACGTTGAAAGTCAAAAAAAAGAAATGTTTTATTTTGAGTCATATCCTCGAAAGTGCAGATTAGTGAAGGAATATGGAAGGCTATAATAGTATAGTATGATGCCATTTGTATTTTGCAGTGAGTCGATATGATGTGGATAAAAGTACTTTTTGCATTTTTTAAGTTCTGTTCGATGGCACTGTACCATTTTAATGAAGACTACGAGACTCATTGAGGACATTGACCCTGCTGTCCGGAGAGTATTTGACATTCGACCACAATGAACGAAAATGCCAAGCCGAAAATCAAAATTTTATTGTGATATCGGAGTGGACCAGAAACAATAGTATTATAATTAAGTTAATTACTATTGTTTTTCTGAACAAAAACAATAGTAATATTATAAAGAAGTAGTAGCCCCTGTTTTTAGGAGTGACCTCGTGGTCTGGGGATAATGAGACCCAGCCATGAGCTCACTATTTTTGCATATAATTAAGTTAATTAGAGCGTTCTGATCGAAGCCGGAAACAGTAACGTTGTTTTGTCGACCCGATGTTAGTAAGACCACCAAAAGAACTGGCTTTGGCAGAGACGGTGAAAAGCATTCAGAGCTGTGTTTAGACGCTAGCCAGTCGTTTTAGAACCTAGCTTTTTTCCGTCGATATGTACTTCCGGGCGAATGTTACATGTAACCTCGGTTACTATGATACTTTTGACCTAATAATTTTTATTTTCTCAGCGGGAAAACTGAAATAATCAGTGTGACAACTTCACTAAACGCAGTTTTCTTTCTGTTTTTATCACGCGTTTTAAATTACAAGTTTTCGCTTAGTTTTTTCGACTAGTATAAAGAACCAGTCTAATTTGCTTCTTTCAAAATTAGAAGCTATAACCAGTAACTTGTTAAATTTTTGTTTTCAGATACTTGAAAATGGAGCTTAGTGGACCAATTTTTGCTCTCATAATGGGTATTATTATCGCACTCATTGTTTTGGGCATTGTAATAAATTATGTATATATTTTGTTCGTCGAAAATCCAAGAAGGGAAGGGCATTCGAAAACCTTCATGGAAAAAGTTGCTATCAACTGGAGAGATTTCAAAAGATTCATATGGGATATCAAAAAGGGGGAAATTTTTGGGCGGACGCCTTTAAGCTGGTTTCTCATCATAGTTTACTTAGCTTTCTTGTACACAATCGTATTCGGACTTTTCGCTCTGCTGTTGTGGTTAAGACTGCGATATCTGCCTGACTTGAAAGATGGTCCTTACAGAACGGATTATCTTACTTTTGATGGACCAGGTATTATTTTGAATGAAATACTGAATTTTAGTAAAGTGAATAGGTATTGTGACGAGAGAATTATCCTTTCTATATTTATATTTTACATGAAAGTAGGAAAGCGCAATGGACGCAATGTTTAATTGAAGCCTTTCAAGTTGTTTTATGGACCAAATCGGTTCGCAAAAAGTTACAAAAAGTGACTTGAAAGATGGTCCTTACAGAACGGATTATCTTAAATTTGATGCGCCAGGATTTATTTTGAATGAAATACTGATTTTTAGTAAGGTGAATACATATTATGACAAGAGAATTTCCTTTTTAATCTTCTTATATATTAAATTAAAGTCAGAATGCGCTATGGACGCAATATTTACCTGAAAGCAATGTTTTATCTTTGTCGAATGCAACGTTTTAAAAATTTTGCAGGCTTAACGTTTAAGAGAAGTCGAAGAATATTATAGAACTTTCAAATTTTCTTATGTTTGGCAAAATTTCAATTTTTTCGGACAATATGAAATCAATTCATTTTCAAGGCTAGACTCAGTATTTCTCCATTTTTTCCGAAATTTTGCTTTTCCAAATTGATTTTCTGAAACGAGCTAACGAAAAACAGCACCCTTCTTGCTAGAAAAACTAGCTTTTTGCAACCCATTTGCGCTATGGAAAATCTTGCTTAGAAAATTAATACCCTTTTCACCAATCGATTTGCTCTGAGAAAACTTGAAGTAATTCAAAGTTTCATGGCCTCAATAGCTTGCTTAGAAAAAATGAAACTTCTCGTCAGCCGAATTGCTTTACAAACAACTTGACGTATTTCCAAGTCTCAGCGCATGAATAGCGTGCTCTGAAAAACTTTGAAAATAGTTTTTCTAACTATTTCATAGACGGAATCGTTTTGCGAAAAGCTTAAGGTTTTAAAGCAAACTTTTCGCAAACCTATTCCAAGCAAACTTTTTGCAAACCGATGTGCTTTTTGAATTAACTTAAAATTTTTCAAAGTTTCAGAGCCTGAATAGCATGGTTAGAAAACCTTAAGCTTTTCGCAAAATGATTTGGTCTATGAAATAGTTCAAAAAATATTCTTGAAAAATTTCATTGCCTCAATAGCTTGCTTAGAAAAACTGAAACTTATCGCCCCTCGAATTGCTCTATGAAACAATTTGACATATTACGTAGACAACTTGACGGTCTATGAAGGTTCTTTAGCTTGAATAGCTTGCTAACAAAAACTTTAACTTTTCGCAAACCGATTCGGTTTTTGAAATAACTTGGAAATATTCGAAAGTTTCACTGCTTGGATAGCTGGCTTAAAAAAACATCAACTTGAATTTTTTTAAAGCTGTTTGCGAACTTGAGAGAAAAGAAAGGCGAAATGCTTTCTGACTTGAAGTTTCTTAGCTGGAGTAGCTTGCTTAGAAAATCATGAACTTATCGTCTTCAGATTTGGTCTATGAAATGAAATATTTGAAGTTTCATCACTCGAATGGCTTCAGTAGAAATAATTTTTAAAATTGACATCGGATTAGCTACTTGGAATACTTCAAAGTTTCATAACTAATCGTATGCTTGGAAAAACTTTTTTTTGTCATACGATTCGCTTTATGAAGTAATCGTAGAAAAATTTTTATCCAATGATTAGCTTGCTTGAAAACTAACAGAAACTGGTCCGCTCCATGATATGACTTTGAACTGGTTAAAAATTTCATAGCTAGAATAGCTTGCCAAGAAACTCTTGAATTTATCGCAAACTGATTCGGTCTATGAAATAAGTTGAAATATTTGAAGCTTCATCGCTTAAATGGCTTCAAAAGAAAAAATTTAATATTTTGTCATCTTATTCGTTGAATAGAGTAACTTAGATTATCTCAAAGTTTGATATTTGGAGTATCTTGCTTTTGTCTGCGCCCTCCGATTTGATTCATGAAATAGCTTGAATTGTTTAAAAGTATCACGGATTGAATATCTTGCTCTGAACAACATAAACTTTTCGCGTGCTGATTAATCATTTGGAGACCGTCTTGCTAATCTTATATATTACATGAAAGTCGGAATGCGCTATGGACGCAATGCTTAACTGAACGCAATGTTTTACCTTTGTCGAATGCAACGTTTAAAATATTCCATAGACTTAACTTTTAAGAGAAGGCCAAGAATATTCTAGAGATATCAAACTTTCTTAAGTCTGGATTATTCAAGATTTATTTTTGACAAAAAGACAAATTCTTCATACAAAGATGCACTCAATTCATTTTCAAGGCTAGACAGTTCCTGTCTTTTTTCCGAAATTTTGACTTCTCAGATTAATTTCATTCTGAAACGAACCAACTAAAAACAGCAACCTCCTTGCTAGAAAAACTAGCTTTTTGCATACCAATTTGCGCTATGAAATATTTGAAGTATTTCAAGGTTTCATTACCTCGATAACTTGCCTAGAAAAATTGAAGTTTCTTGCCATTCGATTTGCTCTATGAAACAAATTGACATTTTTCAAAATTTCATCACATTTCATGACATTCTAAGGTATTTCAAAGTCTGAGTCGTTTTGTGAAAACTTATGTTTTTTTTTGTGAATTACTCTACGAAAACAAACTTGAAATAACTCAAAGTTTCATCGCATAAAATAGCGTTCTAAGAAAAAGAAATTGAAATATTTCAAGCTATTTCACAGACCGAGTCCTTTTGAAAAAAGCTTAAGGTTTGAAACAAAATTTTCGCTAACTTTTTGTAAGCAACTTTGTCGCAAACCGATTTGCCCTGGAAATGACTTGAATTTTTTCAAATTTTCAAAGCTTTAAAAAGCTTGCTTAGAAAAAATTGAGATTTAGCAAAACGATTCGGTGTATGAAATAGTTTTGAAGTGTTTCAAATTTCATGGCCTGCTTGGAAAGTTATTTGCAAAGCGATTCGGTCTTAGATTCGGAGTAACTTGGAGTTCTTTGCAAAGCGATTCCGGAGTAACTTGGAATTTTTCATTATTTTATAGCTCGAATAGCTCGCTTAGAAAAACATAAGTTTTTCGCAAAATTATTTGTCTTTAAAATCATCTGGAAATATTTCGAAGTTTCACAGTGTAAATGGCTTGCCCAGATAATCTTCAAATTTTTGCGACCGATTGAACCTATAACATAACTTATAAAAAATAACTTATAAAATATTGCATAGCTTCAATAGCTTGCTTAAAAAACTGAATGTTTGTGCGAGCTGGTTTGGTTCACTTCATGAAACTTTAATTAGATGAACTTAAACTTTTCGCGAATCGATTCGGTTTATAAAATAACTTGAATAGCTCAAAGTTTCATAGCTGGAATAGCTAGCTCAGAAAGTCCAGTACTTATCGCAAATTGATCCGGTCGATGAAATAACTTGAAATATTTTGAAGTTTCTTCGCTTGAAAGGTTTCAATAGAAATAATGAAACTTTTTTGTCATCTGATTCGCTACGTGAAATAATTTAGAGTATCTCATTTGATTCATGGAATAATTTAAATTTTCATAACTTGAATAGCTTGATCAAAAAAGCTAACTTTTTGCGAGCTGATTAATTATTTGAGACAGGCTTGCTAGTATAATTAATCGCTGCGAAAAGCAATGTTGATGAAACATTGATTTTTTTTAGGTATAAGCGTTGTACCCTATGGGCGTAAAAAGGAATACGTATTCCAATACAACAGACGCCAACCAGGCACCTTCAGATACTTTCTCGACAGAAGAACACAGTTTTTGCTTGGTAAGTTGTCTCATCGAGTCATGTAATATAAAGATCTTATTATCATGTACTTTAAGTTAAGAAATCTGCTATTTCTTCTCAAATGTGACAATAACAGTTTATTAAACTCAGCGAAAACATCAACCAGTTCAAAGCAAATCTGGACAGAATTTGGAAGAAAACTGGAATCCATTTCTGAAACTTAAGAGGTGATCAGCAGAGGCAATACGCCTATTGATCACTATATGAACTGAACTGAAAAGATGTGCAATATGTTTTAAGTTTTGCTGCACCTCTGATTTATATTCACATGGAAATCGATCTTATGGTGTTTACGAGGAATTCAAAATTAGCTGTAACTCTGTTCAATCAAATGCCTTAGATTATATCACAGTCGATGGCGAGGACCAGACGGCACTTTTCTTGGAGTGTAGAGCTGGCACCATCATGGACCAGAGACAATGTGGTCAGGTGCCAGAGGATGACCGGGCCTTCTATTACTTCGAAGCTGCAGACTTGTTAAATTCGAATGGAACCAGGGCCTACAACTTGTATAATTTAGGAGACTGCTGGGTTGAAGATGGCTTTGAAAGAGCAGAACCCTGCTTCCTTATGACTGTGAACAAGGTATTTCATTTCTTTTAAAGTATAAAAGGTTCGATTTAAAATAGCAGTGCCCTTAATATAAAACTCGGTGCAGTTGTCGAAGATTATTTCAACAAGAGCCAGCTTTGTCTTTTGAACAATTGTGCGTCATTTCCTTTTTCTTAACAGTGCCAAGAAATTCTTTGCAGAAACATATATTGAGTTGAACTGCAATGTTGTCGATTGTTAGGAAGCATGTGTTTAATATAGGTTTGGGACTGGAAGCCTTCTAAGCTTCGAGTGAACAGTAGGAAGGACGAACGCTGGATCGGAGAGCTGGACCAGTACGATAGCCGGTTTTTGCCCATAATCTGCCAGGGAGTGGTTAGTCATTTTCAATGTTTATGCGCCTTCAGAAAATTGCTAATATGGATCATTCTTGCAATCAGCAAGGTTCTTGCAAGCAAATGAAACTTTTTTCTACGCTAGAAACTTTCTTCGAGGAATATTGGAAATTATAGTTATGGTTGTTTCGCCAAGCTGGACTTTTTTTTAGCTTCGTAGATCTACATTTGCAGTTGGACAAAAAGAACATTCCGACCTCTAGCAAAAAATTAACATGGATGGCTTGTCGATTCGAAGTTGCATTCTTTTTTTTAGAATTCCTAGCGGAATAGAAACATTTATATTGAACCAGTCTTCTCAAGTTGGGTTAATTTTGTTCAAAAGTACCAATCATTATACTTGCGATCAGCAAGCATTACCAAACCGTAATATACACTTTTTTCGGGTTAAAACTTTAACAGAATCACTCGTATCATGTTGCACGGTGAGTTTAAATTTAAATGCGTTCCCGGCCAACTTAACGTGGAGGTAACGAAGATGCGTGGGACAATAAGGTCCTGGGTTCGAATCTGACCAGGGCCTGTTTTTTTTTTCAAACAAAATATTCTGTTTCAAATGAATTGTCGGCCAATTATTTGTCAGCATATCTGTTGTTTGCTTAGTTGTCATATCTGAGACTTTTACTTGCCTTTATTTCGTGTTTCCTTTGTTTTTTTTTGTTTCGTCCCAAATCATTTCGGCATAATTTATTTTGGCTTAATGACCTAATTTTGGGTAGTTTCAAGGGAAACACAATTTTAACATTTCCCTCCGCCTTTTTCAAGCTGCTTGTATGTTTACCAATCCGCTTGTTGAAATATTTTGTATTTTTTGTGATGGAAAGTTAATTCTAAAAATTACTGGCAACATTTTAATAAAACATGAACGATTTCTAGTTTGGAAAGTGGAATTTAATTTTTAGATTTGCAGCAGAATATTAACTTTACTTATTGATCCAGTTTTCTCAAGTTGGTTCAGTTTTATCAAAAGACCAATCATAAATTGTTTCAGAAATTCAAAGAGCTTAAAGGGCGTCTATATTTTTCTTTGAAATTCGAAAGTTGAGATTTTTTCAGGAAAATCAGTGTTTTTTTATACGTTTACTTAGGTTCATTACTCTTTTTCTAATCTTCGATTGGCTATGTTTTACTATGTTGGTTAGAGTTTTTGGTCTGTTTTTAAAAAATTTTGTGTCCCGAGTTATAAATTCCTTGGCCATTCTGTTTAAATTGATGTGTTCTCAATCTAGCTTGTTTGCAAGATCTCGTTTTACTTTGTGATCGAGTAATGTAAGGCATTGCTTCAGGGTTGTTCAATGCGGTTTGTGTAATGTAGCAATGTCAGATATAAGTAGTCCTACATTTGATCATTGGTTCTTCATTCATATTTTATGCATATTTATGCCGTTCCAAGAAATGGTTGCCACCAAATTAAATGCACTGGCTAGGCATACTTTAGTATTGGTTGTGTTAATAATAGAGACAAGAGGACAGAGACGACATTGCAGCTATTACCATCTACCCCAGAAGGGGGTTCGACATCGCCTACTTCCCGTGGAGGGACCAGAAGAACTACAGACCCCCCATAGTGGCAGTTCAGGTCAAAGTGGCCCCCTCTGGCATCAACAAGAACATCAGGGTGGAATGTGTCCTACTGGCTGAGTATGTCATTTTCAGTATGCCGAGTTCCTTAGCAATTATCTAGGGTTTTGCCACTAGTTTTTTTTCCGATTAACAACTTTCTTCAACATGCAGGGGCAGATCTAGGATTTTTTCGAGGGGGAGCGGAGTCGACTTTTTGTCGACTTTTTCCTTTTTAGGTCGACCAAATTGATTTTCCAAGCTCTCCCAAAGCACTAAAAAGACCCTGTTTTGTGCCAAATTTCTGCGCCACAGGCAAAATTTTGAAAAAAAAACAGTCCAAAACGAGCGTTTTAAGGCATTTTCTGGAAAATTTTGACCAAAAAATTGCGTTTTTTTTCAGCGCGCGCTCTCCCTCAAATTAAGTATGCATTGGCGCCCAAGGCGCCTTTAGAAAGTTTCTAGGGTCTGTCATCAAAAATGGATATCTCAAAATAGTACAAAGGTTAATCTGCCCCTGATGTCATGTTTTTGCTGCTACAGTCACGGGACATAAAAGGCGCAAATTTTAGATTTCAACGGGCAAATGAACGAATTGTTTCTTCACGTTTTTGTCGTTTTGTCTGCAATCATTTTGGGTTGAAATGTTGACTAATACGAGATGAAAATCTTTGAAAGGGGTTTTCCGGCTCGAAATATGAGATATTCTTGCTGTGGAAACATCCTTGTAAACTACACGAGAAATTCAATTTTATGGGCTCAAATTGGTTCTTAGGGAAGCTGATAAGCTCGACTTACATTTTATCCCGCGAAAAATCGGCAGACAGAAAAACTGAAAGAGTTACTCTGTCTGGCGTCAAAGAAGTAATTTCGCGCGAAACACCTGTAACCAGTTTTGATATACTGGTTATTTTTCATCTTCAAAACGAGGTTACTCAAAATTTGACCAGGCTGACTCCTTCCAAATAGTTTCATGTAGCATATGACAAAATTTAAACTCTATATATTAGATAGTCGCTGAGAAAACGACAGAAGAAAAAAATGGTTCGAAGCAACTACTTCGGTGGAATCCCTCATACGAGAAGGACCGAATGCGCAAAAAGAAAAATCAACCAATCAGATTTCAGTAATTTAAAATTTGGAAAGAAAGTAAACATTTTAGGGAATGAGTTTTGATATTGTCCGAATATGAAAAGGCAGAAAATGCAAAACTTTCAAATTGTCACTGACCCCGCCCAATTGGAACAAGTTTGATATTTCAAGAGTTTCGTTATAAAAGAAGCAAAATATTGCTTCATTTAATTGACTGGCAATTGCTTCTTTTCAAAATTTGACTTTCGGTTTATTTTATTTTCAGCCATTCGCTCACGAGTTTTTTCGCGCATGAGCATAGCCGCCACTAGTTCGTCTCATGACTGTAGTTTTACCCCAAGGTAATGGCGCAGAGGTAACGCACATGCTTGGTATGATGACTCGTGAGCTTTTTTTGCAAACATAAAATCTGCTCGGAAAAGTTCTTGGCCAGTAATTTTGGAGACTCGGATGTCACCCTGTAGTGGCAGTACGACAAAGAACCGGAGTGACTTTCACCGATAAATCCGGTTCAAACAGTCATTTTATACTGTTGAAATGTTATTTGAACGAGATTGTTTTAGCAACATCTTCCACCGAAGTCAACAACCGAATGCAGGACGCACTGAACTCCGAATTAGAGTGTCAGACTAGATCGTCTTAAGCTCCGATAGAAATGCAAAGCTGGAAACATGCACTAGATCCTAAGTTCTGGTATAATTGCAAAGCTGTGCACAATCAACTGGGCACGGACTTGTTGTTGCTGTTGGAACTTCTCAATCTATAAAGTAGTTACCTAATTTTTGAAAAACGAAAAAATGAGAATATCAAAGCGGATATAGCTTAGAAAAATCTAGTTATAATTGTTTGAATGCTTTTTTTCCTCAAAAAATTGGCATTAGAAATTGGTTGCTACTTGTTTGCATTGCTCCATAAGCGAAAATCGTTAGCTTGCAAGCTATCCTGTGAAACATTTATCATGAATTATCTTTCCTATCATCTATCACTTTTTTTTTTACCTGTCTTTAGACCCAAACAACTCGACAATTTAACACATATACATATCAGTAACTTGATGCTGTATTCTTTTGCTTCTATCGTAGTGTTAATATTCTTATTTTGATAAAATTTTTACTGTAAATTTGCTTTAGTATATTTGTTGCGAATTAGTGTTAGCTAATTTCAGTCATCAGTTTAGTTGATTTTTAAATGAGCGAATCTCAACGAACGGAATTGTAATTTCGGACTTGGAACAGTAATAAGGTTATTATAACTCTTTAACAATCTAATGAAACAATGTTGATCCAAATCCAAAAAAAAGCATAATCACCGCACCCATATTTATTCTTGCTTTTGGTCGTGCAAAATACAATATTTATTTGGTGATTTTCATGTTTTGATATCAATATCCGTTGATCAAACCAATTAATTTTTTTAACTGTATATAGAAGGTCAGTGGTGCATTGTGAAATAAGAAATAAAAGCTTCTGAAACTCATAAATCATCATGTACCATTTTGCCTCCTTGAAAAGATCAATCTTCTAAATTTTTATACGTTCAAGTTTTCTTTATTTTTTTCTGGGTCATAATATTCTGCTTTTGTACATTTTGTCAATAAATTTCTTTTCGAAATTTTTATTTCTTAGGTGCAATCAACCAGAGTTTATTAAAGCAAATAAACAAGTTTTTAATTTCTGCCCTCAAATAGTGCGAACAGATTGAAGCCGTGGTTGCTTAAATATTTCTATTTTTGCTCTGAAAACGGCGAATGTAGAGAAACTGTCCAGAATGAGTCGAGTGAGGAATCATACCAAAGTTTTTTCAGTCGTGATTCTATCTGGAGAACAACGATTGAAATTGTTGTTCCGACCATTGAAAATGGGGAGGAACTTTGTATTCGGGTGTGTTTCTGTTTTCTTTTCCACTCGAAATTAGTTATCAAAATAATCATTGGACTTGGCTGAGTGATATATCATATTAAAGTCCTTTCAGTAGTGGTGCGAAACACATTAGAAAATTCGAGCTGAGAAAAACCGGTTTGAAATTAGATTTTTCGTCTAGTTTCAAGCGAATTAAGCAATCGAGTACTATTTGTTATATATGAAGATACGCAATTTCGGCTAAAAAAAACTTGATTTTTCTGAAAAGAAAATTAGTTTTGGAAGCTTCATTCAGCTCTTCTCTGGCAAAAAATTCAAGATTATTTGAGGTTTTTAGTGCAAAAAGTTTCGTATTTTTTTTGTTTGAAGGCAATTGGAGCCGTTTATGCCTAATTGACTAAATTTTTACGCGTTCGTGTTGCACGACTTACAAAAAAGGCACTAACTTGAAGAAAAAAAGTTTTTATGTGGTCGGAACATTCTGTGTTACTTGCACAGCATCCGGCTATCTTTGTTGATTTCTGTCTAATATGGAGCGAATAAAAGAGCAAGCAGCCTAAGAATAAATCAGCTTTCGGAGTTTCTTAAAGCGCCTGCGTAGTAATAATAAATTAAAATGAAAAATCCGAAAGTCCAGGAAAAAGATTTGTTTAAGAGTAATGAACTTAGTGAAGTATCTTATATAGGTCTTCCTGATTTTTTTTAGGAAAATGTCTTGAAATATTGATGCATTTAGGTATATATACACTTTCTGAGTTCATTGAAATTCATCTGCTGAAAGTGAGGCAAATTGCAGTGGAATTGAATGTTTAGATTTCCGGCGAAATAAAAACTTTACCTGTTCATCCAGTTTTCTCAAATTGGTTCAATTTTATGAAAAAAGCGCCAGTCATAAAACGTTCTAGCAACTAAAAGAGCTTAGAGGGTATGTATTTTTTTCTTCTGAAATTCGAAAGTTTTGGTTGTTTAATTGCGTTCATTATTCTATTCCAATCTTCGATTGGTAATGTTCTAGTTCTTCAGAATGCGGAGCGTAGTGTTTTTCTGCAGAGCTATTTTTCTAACCCATAATGCAAATTTTGTTGCCAATTTTTGTGGCAGGTTTGCAGCGTAAGCATTTGTATGTAAAAAATTGAAATCTACAAAACCTAAATGTGAAAAAAAAAATCATTTTAAAATTATCGCGAAATTTCTGAAATTTTTTTTTCATGATTAACTTGTATGAATTAAATAGCTTTTTCTGGCTTTTTTAAAAGACCAACTATTTTAAAAGACCAACTATTTTAATCAATAATCAGTTTTCCGAGTACCAGCTCTAAAAATTGATAATTGATTTTTTGCTCTAAAAATTGATTATTAATTAACATATCTGGTCTTTTGATTCCTCAAAAGAGCCAGAAAAAGCTATTTAATTCACACAAGTGTTATAATGAAAAGTCTTTTTTCAGAAATTTTCTAGATGCATTTTTTCGCGATAGTTTTGAAACGAATAATTTTAAGACATTTTGGTTTTGTACATTCAATTTTTTACATTCAAAATTTGGGTAAGCAACTAAACGTGCATTTAGCGAAACAAAGTACTTTTAGCAACTTAGGAATTTTGAAATTTCATTTTACCGCATTGTGGCTTGTGTTGGCGAAGTGTTTTTGAGACAAGGTGACATAGAATGTGTCTAATTTACTGCAACTAATGAGTGCTTGATTTCTACGCCATCGTTCAGATCCTCTCATTATCCCACGAATAAAAATCTATTCAATTTGAAAATGATTTTTTTTTGTAGTTTTGTGGTGAAATTTACTAGACTAATTTGTCTGCTTAGTTTTATCGGCCGCACTAGCTTTAAGTTAACGTAATTTGCCTTGTTAAAGAGTTTGCTCAAACTGAGAAAATCTAAAAATAATTTCAATGTGTTGGTTAAGTAATTGCGTTGCAAGAAGTTTTGCCGAATTTTTTAAAATTTTTATATTAAATTTTTGAAAGTTTTTTTTGCATTCTGTTTTTATTCACAAAAATGAAAAGTACCGGTTTCTCTTTAAATTTCTGAAATTATGATTATATCCGATTGGAATTATTTGAAAAAGTTACATGCCAGTACTAACGCATAAAAATTGTTTCGATTTTCTTTTTTGTTTCACAATTATTTTGTTCGCCTGGTTTTAAAATTTTTAAAAGAGCTCGTATGAATCATGATTGTATCTACTTGTCTAATACGGAAAGATTGTATCTACTTGTCTAATATTTTGAGGTTTTTGAACATGGATTACGTTGCTGTTTTTTACACTAATAGTTTTTAACACTAATACAGGTTTATGGCCTCTTTTTGTCTCGCGCGTGGTGCGAAGCTCCGCTTTGCCTCTGTCTTTTTAGAAGTAATTCGATTTCATTTGCTGAACAGAAGGCAACATTCACTCTTATAGCGAAAATCAATATAGCGCGAAAAAAGTAAATGACTTTTATTTTTGGCGCATTTGATCCAGTTTTCCCAAATTAGGTTACTTCTGTCAAAAAATGGCAATGATAAATAGCAAGGAAGTTCAAAGAGCCTTGAAGTGATACAATATGGTGGAATCCCTCATACGCGAAGGACCGAATGCGCGAAAAAAAATCAGCCAATCAGGTTTCAGTAATTCAAAATTTGGAACGAAAGTAAACATTTCCAGGGAGTGAATATTGATATTGACCGATTATAAAAACGGCAGAAATATGCGAAATTTTCGAATTGTCACTGACTGGCGCCGAATTGGAATAAATTTTATATTTTAAGGGTTTCGTAATGAAAGAAGCAAAACATTGCTTCCTTTAATTCATTTTATTTGAAAAGCAATTGCTCCTTTTTAAAAATTGACTTTCGGCTAATTTTGTTTTCGGTCCTTTGCCCACGAATTTTTTTGCCCATTCGGTCCTTCGCGCATGAGAATAGCCCATACAATATTTTAATGTTCATTTTGAATATTTTCAAGTCTGGTGACCTTAATAACACGTTTCTAACGGTCTATTAGTTATCTCAACGTTTTTGTTATGTATTACAAGCAATGCGAAGCTGGGTTTTGCCTCCTTGTGGATATTTAACATAGAAGGAAAAATCAAAACTGCTAGCTTTGCACTTCGGCTATTTCGATCTACTAATGTAGTATTTGTCTCACCTTACGCGCTTTTTATTTGCGTTCAAATTCATCGCGCGCCTAAGCGGGATAGTTCACATAAGCCAGTTTTCAATTGAGCTTGTTAAAATAACGTAAAGATCATTATTGGGCCGTATAACAGCAAAAGCCCAAGCTGACATTTTGACTCTAAATTTATCAAATTTAAAAAAAAACGGTTCGGGTACGCAGTGCCAACATTTTTGATTAGAAGTCAAAATCGCTTATTCGGATTAACGACTGATTTAGCCTTTTTCCTTTAACTCTTCTGTTAAAATAATGTATCTCTTTAAAGCTCTTTGAATTTCCAGAATTTTTCTTTGCAACTTTTTGGGAGTAACCTATTTTGGGAAAACTGGATCAAATGCGCCTCAAACTCATTTTTGAAACTAAAAATCGCTTACTTTTTTTGCGCCATTTTGATTTTCGCTATTAGAGTTAAGGTTGCCTTATGTTCAGTCGCCATGTCTTTGAAATAGTAAAAAACTCTAGTCTTAAATTGCCGCTTTCTTATTCGGATAATGATTGACTTTCGCCAAAATTTTCCAATCACTATTGGAAGGTTTATTTGTTTATTTACCATCGTGAGCAATTTAACATTCGGTAACGAAAATTACAACCCGTACATGGTTACATGGTTTAATTTTTTTCATTAGAGGAAATGATTGTTTTACCTCAGTGCGTGCGGAGTAGGTGTGTGTGTGTGGGGGGACGGGGGTGGAACAAACGGTTTGTTGAATCTGTTCAAAATATACATATGAAATGTCATATTTTCCATATATCTAGCAAACAAGTTTGAGTTGACAAAACTACCAATCGTTTATTTTTGACTTCCACCCAGATTTGACGTAAATTTTGTTACCAATATAATGACATAAACTCCGGACAAACAATCTTATCAAATGGATACACTATTTAGACAGTTGTGTCAAGAATCACGACCTAAAATGGTTTAGTCTTTAAGTTGAAAATCATTATTAATTTGTACATTCATTTTTTCAGTCATCAATTAAAATTCATTCCAAAGAAAAATGTGAAAAAAAATAACTTCAATTCATTGACGACTGATGGGTCAAAAAGTTAGTTCAGAGGTCGTTGGAGAGAAGAATACTTACAATTTTCCCAGGCGTTTGATTGAAAGGTATCTCAGAAGTTTATCAACCACTCCCAAACTCAGAAAGTTTAACTCAAAATAGTACTATTTTTTGGTAAGTAGGAAAGATTTGTTAAGTTTCGCAATTACTTGCCGCCACGTCTTTAAAAAGTTGAAAGCGCGACTCTTAAATTGCCGCTTTCTTATTCGGACAGTGATTGGTTTTCGTCGAAAATTTATAATCCTTATTGGAAGATTCATTTATTCATCTTGAACAATTTAGCATTCGATAACAAAATTTACAAAGCGTATTTGTTATTTCAACTGGCTGATATTTCTACGTGCGTTAATTGTTTTCATTGGGAGAAATAAATGTTTTATCTCCAAGCGTGCAGTGTGTGTGTGTGTGTTTTTCGGGAGGAAAAGAGGGTTTGATGAATCAGTTCAGAGTATACATAGGAAAAGTCATATTTTCCATATAACTAGCAAGCAGGTTTGAGTTGGCAAAACTACCAACT